TAGTTTACAGAGGGATTCACACACATTCAATCAATCTTTACAGCAACCCTGAGAGGACAGGAAGGTGTTATTCCATTTTAGAAACAAGGAAGTGAGGCTCAAGGAGACTTCAATTATTTCCCTAAGTGCACACAGCTAGAATGTGGCAGAAGGGAGCGCAAACCAGGCACTTCTGATTTCTAGAGGCCATGTGCCCAGGTCAAATGCTAGCTAAACATAAAGGCATAGACTTGCATTAATCCAGGATTGTTGCTTCATCTTTGAATCCACTTCCCTTTCCACCCCAACCCCTAGGGGGTTGAACACATTTCCTGAATTCATTTACTCATTCATTCATTCACTTAATCGTTCAATATTTGTTGAATGTCTACATGCTAGGCATTCTCCTAGGTGCTAAGATATGATGATGAAAAAATATAGACTTGGTTATCTCTATAAGGAGCTTATAGTGAAGGAAGGAAGGAAGGAAAGAAGGAAGGAAGGAAGGAAGGAAGGAAGGAAGGAAGGAAGGAAGGAAGGAAGGAAGGGGATGGAAGAAAAACAAATTAGTCATGGATAGTCATTATTTTTTAATCTGGGTAAAATTAAAAGGGTTAGGTCCAGCCCAGGTCATTCTCCATAGTGGCGCCCAGAAAGTTCTTGACCCCAGCCTGAGAGTAATATTTTTATCAATATTCTAAAGATTTCCGAAAGGTAACATGTTGTAGGCTTTCTAGATTGCAGGAGAGGAAATGTGAAGGTGTGTCCGACTTGGCTGGAGAAGTCCACATAATGGGTTGCAGTGAAGTCATGGGAAGCTTGCTAACTTCATTTTCTGTTACTTCTCTTCATCTAGATGAGATTAAGTGTTTATTTAGGAAAGTTCTCCCAGCCCTTGGCTTAGAAACAAGCCATAAATTTTACAATTCCCATAGAAGACGCTAGTTTTTTTTGTGCCTTTTCTTTTTAGTATAAACCCAGGGACACTTTCTCTGAAAATCAGTCGGGAGTTATGCATCAGTGTTTCCAATTACATTCTAGTTACATAAAGTTTAACAACTCTGAGTAACAATGTTTTTGGCGTGGCCGCTTCGTTCAACGGCAAGTGAAGGGAAATCAGTATAGCTGACTCTCTTCCCTCTTTTGTTTTGTTCACTATTTTACCCTCAGCCCAGGACATAGAAGCCCTCAATAAAAAAATGTTGAATGAGGGTAAAAGGGATCAAATATATGGTGATGGAAGGAGAACTGCCTCTGGGTGGTGAACATACAATGCGATATATAGAGATGTGTTATAGAATTGTACACCTGAAGCCTATGTAACTTTACTAACAATTGTCACCCCAATAAACGTTAATTAACAAAAAAGGTTGAATGAATGTGTGAATAAATTAGGTTAGAGAAATACGATGACTCTGCTTCTTTTACTTAAATTACTCAGATTACCAATTAGGAAATTGACTTCCTACATTTCATGAAAATATTTATAAAAAGAAAAATGAGAATCATGGTTTTTTTATGCAGAAAGTTTCAAACATTGATGAATTCTTGTTTTTTTTTGTTTTTTAAATTCCTGCTTTTTTAGGTAATAGGCATTGACAATAATTCATTTCTTCTAAGCATAGTCACCATAGCATACTTGTAAGTATTATGTGCACAAGAAGTAGATAGAAAAATAGCAAAGTATACATCTAAGAATTTAGTGCTTGAGCAGCATGGATAACTTATCAATCCAAACATGTGATAGGTAAACAACTCATGCTGTTAATACTTTCTAGTGACGATGTATAAACCTACAGCAGTGGCCATAGGCATTAAAAATCGCCAGGTTGGTCTTGCAATCCTTTGAGATGTCATATGTCTATGTTCTACTTTATTCTCTCAGGAGAAAAATTTATATTCACTATTACTGGAAATTAGTTACTCTTGTTAATGTAAATTGCATGATCAAACCCTTAAATAATTTTGATGACTAAAGGACATAATGGCAAACCAACACCAAAAGACTTATGGGCAATAATTCATTTTGTTTCTTAACTAGGCTTGTAAGAAAAAATTGACAAGATGTAAATTTTTAAAAGATCATTGAATTGCCGGATCCTACTGTTTTGACTCATTCTCTGAATAAGTGTTTCTTAATATTTTAGGGAAATCAGAAAATCCTCTCAGTTAGAACCCTTCTTTCTCCTCAGAAGAATGCATTTTGAAGAGAAATTTGCATACAATCTCACAGGGTGAAATCTTGCATGCATCTCAGATGTCCACGTCCAAGCCTCTCTCTTGATGCAACAGCAACAACCAAAATGGCAGGACAGAGAAGAAGTTTCCCGTGTGAATTTGGGAAAAACCACCCAGTTTCAGGTTTGGGCTCCCACTAGCTGCTACTATCTAACAGGACCTTTCATTTTCAGGACTCCAAAAAGATATAATTTTCCAACTGAACAACTTTCATAAATGGTTTCCAAGAGTTCCTATAAAATGTGGCCGTAAGAACTGGCTCCAAGACTCTACCCTGGTTGGCAAGCCAGCCTCCAAATGCTTGTTAGCCATGGGTGAACAACAATGCCAGCTGTGGTTTGTCGAGCATGTAAAATGTGCCAGCTGGGGCACTAGCTAAAGCACTCTAATTTATGAGGTAGGTCCTATTTTCATCATTTGACAGAGGAAGAAACTGAGGCTTCAAAGATTAAATGACTTGCCTCAGGCTACACAACCTAAACAATCTTATATAATACAATGGTGACGATCTTAACATTGAATTTCCTCCCTTTCTCAGTCTGTTAGAATCTGAATATTGTTTTCATAGTGCTTTTCATGCTTGGTTTCCTTTTAGGGTTCTTTTGGTAGCATTAAAACTCACAAAAAAATTCACACACACACAAACACACACAGATTCTTAGATGTCATCAATGCCACTGCCTAGGGCTTTGCTGCATATCCCCAAATTTTGTCTCAGCCCATCTCTAGTCAGCAAATACTGATGAGAAACCACAAGTGTAAGTGATTTACAGTCATGTAAAACGTATTGTTTCCAAACCATTTACAGCAAGCCCTCACTTAATGGCATCCATGCATTCTGCCACTTTGAGTGAAACGATGTAAAACAAAATCAATTTCACCACAGGCTAATTGATATAAACAAGAGTTAAGTTCCTGTGGCATCTTGTCAGCTTATAACAAAAGGATGTTATTCGAGGACCAGCTGTGTTTAGATATCCTCTCTGGTTGATTCTTATCACAGGTTTGACACTGGGATGCACATTTCAAATATACAAGTGAGGGCAACTTTTGGTACTTGCTCTTGGGGTACCCTCTGTTCTGCTCCCTCCATCTTCCTCTCCACCTCATAGCTTTCCCTTTTAAAAACCGTTATTCTGAGCTGGCCGAGTGGCTCAGTTGGTTAAGAGCTCGCTCAAGAGTGCGAGCTCTGAGCAACAGGGTCGCCGGTTCAATTCCCAGCCTGAGCTGAGCTGCTGCTGAGCCGCCAACAGGTGGCAGGATGGCTAAGCTAAAAAAATAAATAAAAAATAAAATAAAACCCTTAATTATTCAGAGGAAGCCTCCTTTCCCACAGGCATTCCTACCTCTGAATGACGATCCCTCCTTCGCAGCACCGAGCTCCTAACTGTCCCTGCAGGAAATAGTCCAAGTCTGTTTGCACTGATGTCAAACTTCAAGTGTGTCTATTTTCCATGCTCATGTTGGAATGAACGTATGACCATGAGTTGATACCACACCAGGCTATGCTCCGGTCCATGAGATCCCTAAGGAAAGATCCCGCCAAAGAATATGGCAACAGAACAATATAATCAAACTTGGTCTTTTCTCCAGCAATAATTCCTAAACCTCTGAGCAGCTGGTTCTTTTCTGCTTCCTTTTTTATCTTTCTCCCCAATTAAGAAAAAAATTTTTTTTGCATCTATACCCTTAAAGTTTATTTCTATTGTCTTTCTCTTTTTATAGTTTCTTGTGTGTTTGCATCTTTAAATCACTTTTTCCCATCCAATAAATGTTTGTTCTTTAGACCTTGAGCACTCAGGGATAAACAAAATAGATAATAACTTTGTCCTCACAGAATTTACATCCTAAGTTCTCTGGTAGAATCCATGTGCTTTACATGCTGTTACTGCCAAAAGATTGCACCCACATATGCTGTGGCTGGGAAAAACCCCTGTAACTCTCATCCCTGTCCCTTATTTACAAACCACTTCTTGGCAGTCTGATATAGCTAAAGACCACTGGCCAATGTTCTCTCTTGTCCTTTGTGGCTTCAGTTTCTTTCTCTGGCTACCGTGTTTTCCCCCAAAATAAGGCCTAGCCAGAGAAGAAGCCATAGCATGATTCCTCCAGGATATGGAGGGCACGCACCCCTCGCATGAGGGTTTTATGACCTGTTTCAGGGAGAAGGGTGCCTTTCCCACAAACTCCTTTAGCTTAAAATATTTAGTATGCCAAGGTGCTATATTTTGGCACCTGAAATCATGCTACAGCTTATTTTCTGGCTAGGTCTTATTTTCAGGGAAGCAGAGTAGTAATATAATTTCAATTTATCTCCCCCAATTCCCCAATAAAATCTTTTTTAAAATTTTAATTTATATTTATAATCTCTCTCCCAATTATATCTTGGTTGGTTTATACATTCATACCTTTGTTTCAGAAAGGAATTGGGACTTTTAATAGACATAATAAAATATATTTTAATCATGAACATCAAATAAAACACAGCAGCCAGGCACTAACAAAGCAAGGAAACCCAAAGCTGAGGAATTTGCAGATATTGATCACAAAATTTTTCTCCAAATTCACATTGGTTTCTGACATCATCGAAAGAAAATCTTTAGGTCCATCCATGTTGTTGCAGATGGCAAGATTTCATTCTTTTTATGGCTGAGTAATATCCCATTGCATATATGTACCACTTCTTCTTTATCCATTCATCCATCCATGGACATCCAGGTTGCCTCCATATCTTGGCTATTGTCAGTAATGCTGCAGTGAACATATGGATGCACATGTCCCTTCCAAGTAGTGTTTTGGTTTTCTCTGGATAGGTGGAATCTAAAAAATAATGACCAAACGTAACAGAAACAGATTCATAGATACAAAGAACATTTTAATGGTTGCCATATGGGAGAGGGTTGGGAGGACGGGTGAAAAAGGTGAAGGGAGCAATACATACAAATCAGTAGCTACAAAATAGTCATCGGGATGTAAAGTACAGCACAGGGAATAGAGTGAATAATATTGTAATTACTATGTATAGTGCAGGGTGGTTACTAGACTAATCGAGGGGATCACTTCATAAATTATATAAATGTCTAACCACTCTGTTGTACACCTGAAACTAATAAAATTTGTATGTCAACTGTAACTGAAAAATAAAAAATATTTTAAGGAATTTTTAAAAAATTAAAAAGAAAGAAAATGTCAATAGCCCATAAGGCACCAAGTCCTTTACCTGGTCTTAAATTTTGTCTATGAAAACAATTTTTTTCCTTATTATTTCTTTCCCCTCTCTCCTTTGACATGCTCCTTGGGTTCTCATAAATTCCTCAATCCAATAGTTTTGTCCTGATCTTTTGGGAATATTCCTGCCTTGTTCCTTAGGACACATCTTCTTTAAACCAGTCTTTCAGCCTCAGATAAATGCTACATCTTTTCAGTCATATCCAGGATCCACTGTTCTTGGTGCTGCAGTGGAAAGAGCCATGTTTTGGAGTCACAGAGACTGAGTTCAATCCCAGGTTTGCTCGTGAGGATAGTTGTGCCCTTGGGTAAGATCTTTGTGCTGAGTCTGCTTCCTCACCTTTAAAATGGAGGTGATGGCATTCGATAGGCTTGGTTTGACATTCAAATGGGAGAATACAGACAGAATAATGCCCGCTCCCTCCCCCCAAGTACATCCATGTCCTACCCCCAGGCCCTGTGAATATGTTAGGCTACATGGCAAAGGGAAATCAAGGTTGCCGATGGAATGAAGGTTGCTAATCAGTTGACTCTGAGATGGGAGATTATCCTGAATTATCAGGGTGGACCGAGTGCAACCACAAGTGTCCTTATAAATGGAAGAGGGGCATAGAAGAGTCAGTGTCAGGGTGACGTGATATGAGAAAGACTGGACCAAACATGGTTGGCTTTCCAAATGGAAGGGGGCCACAAGCCAAGGAGTGCAGGCAGCTTCTAGAAGCCAGAGAAGGCAAGCAAACAGGTTCTCTTCTAGAGTCTGTCTCCAGGAAGGAATGCATCCCTGCCAATACCTTGACTTGAGCCCAGCGAGGCCCATTTGGTATTTCTGACCTCGAGAACTGTAATAAATTAAATTTGCATTGTTTTGAACCATGACGTGTAGCAATGGGTTGCAGCAGCTATAAGCAACTGGGGCAGACAGAATAATGACCTTCCCTCAAAGATGTTCACATCTCCATGTATCTTTGGGACCTGTCAACTGTGGCAGTCTCCCTTCCTAGCCATGGAAGAGCATGTGCATGTTTATTGGCAAAGCTGTCACCATTTAATTGGTATCAGATTCTGACTTGCACAAGTAACATTGTAAAAACAAAAACAAAAACAAAAAAAAGGTGTTCATGTCCTAATCCCTGAACCTGTGAATGTATTACCTTGAATGGCAAAGGGGACATTGCAGATGTGATTAAGGATCTTGAGATGGGGAGATTACTCTGGATTATCCGTTGGACTATAACAACAATGAGCCTTCTTGGGCTGGCCGAGTGGCGCGATGGTTAAGAGCTGGCTTGGGATGCCAGAGGGCCCCGGTTCGGATCCCACATATGAAGGCCAGTGACACTGCCCTCCACAGCTAAGATGCTGAACAAAAGCTCGACCTGGAGCTGGGCTGCCATGGGTTGCCAGCTACGGTGTAGGCTGCAGTCCCCTGCTGCAGTGGGCTGCCATAAGCTACCATATGTAGCCGGCAGCCGCTGTGAGCAGCCGTCCAGAGGCTGGCGGATGATCTGCCTCCCCTGGGAAGAGCGCAATGCTGGTGCCAACTTGGGCCAGTGAAGTGATGTCCTCTACAACTAGACTGAAGAACAAAAGGACAGCAAATTCTCTGTTCCCCTTCCCCCAATTCCCCAATAAAATCTTTTTAAAAATACCAAAAAACAAAAAAAAACAATGAACCTTCTCAAAGGAAGGCAGGAAGGTCAGAGCCAGAGAAGAAGATAGGACAATTGAAGCGGAGGACAGAGCGGTGAAGGGTAGTAAGCCAGAATGTGGGAAGCCTCCAATAACCTGCAAAGGGCAAGAAAACAGATTCTCCAGAAGGGAACACACTCCTGACAGCACCTTGAGTTTATTCCAGTGAGACCCATTTTGGACTTCTGACCTCCAGAGCCATAAGATAATAAATGTGTGCTGTTTTACGCTACTAAATTTGTGATACTTTGTTATGGTAGCAATAGAAAACTGACACGATATACAAGCCTAGCCCCGTTTCCATTTAAATATGATCCTTCATCTTCCTGTTACATGGAGCTTGTCAAGCTCTTCTGCCTTAGACCATTGAATTCTGCCGTCAAAACCCTGTGCTAACCACCCTCTGAAGGGCACCACTCCCAGGGAGCTTCTTCATTGACAATCAGGTCATGGTTTGCACATCTGCAACTACGAGCTCTGCCCTTAATCAAGTTTAGCCTTTGATGACTCCATCCATGTCCTTCTTGCCCCCCTGTGTTGCCTCAGACCATTCTGGGAAAAAAGAAAGACTCTAGGTTATCAGGTTATTTCTTGGCACGATTTTTATCCGTTCTTTTAAAGAAGATCAACACCCTTTCTCCTTGTCACCTCCTGGACACGCTGGAATGCGTCTTTAGGGCAGAGCCTTTTGTCTTGCCTGATAGGTCTCTTTCCTCATCACCTTGAACTTGTCAAGAGATATGTTTCATTGCATTTCTGATTTTCAATATTTGGCCTCACAGCTCTTCACCCTCTGCCCCTTTCTTTTCCTCTGTTTGTTATCATACATATCTGTCTTTGTTCTTCAAAGACTTCAGCGTTTTTTCTACTCACTTGAGAGTTTCCTTCATGCCACCAGAAAATTCCTCACTTACGGTTCAAGAAAAGAGGCTAGAGATGCCATGCTTTTGAGCTGCCTTGTTATATCCCTGCACTCTTTTCTTCTGATGCCCACAGGAATTTTATGAGATTCCATGAGCCTCTACAAACTTTCTCGGCTTTTGAGAAATTAAAATGAATCACTGTGTGATCAGAGATTTTAGTGACTTTCCCTTTATATGTCACAGCCTCAATTGGCCATAAACAATGAAAATTCTATTGGCTGACTTGTCACCTAGCAAATATAAATTAGTGTTACTTTATTTTTTTTTTTTTACTCTGAGCAAATTAGAAAAGACTTCAAAAATATTTCATATCCAACTAGGACCCTAAGATGCTCAACATCCTAAATTTGAATTCTTTTGGCTTTGTCTACTATTCTTCCCTTGTACTTCTACCTTCTGAATGTAGCAGGTCAGAACTTGTCCTGTGTCCCTTCTAAATCTTGGTGGCTTGAATACCAGGACAAAACACCTGCTGTATGCATCCAGGTCCCATCCCCACAGTGACCTGTCTGTCCCGATATTCTCTGTACCTGGCTTAGCCTTGCCTGGGAGGGAATATGCATATTTGACCTTTGCCTCCTTGCTTGCGTCTATTTAACGTATTTCGCACTCCTCTCCTGTATCCCTATCTTGAGACTTGGCTTAGGTCTACACGTCACTCTTAGATGTTGTCTCTTGTAACATTTCCTTTCCTTGCAAGCACAGCCTGTACTCTCTGGACCATACATTCTAAAGGGTGGGCGTCAAACAGAGACAGAGTCAATCTAAGACATGTGGCCACTGAGATGAATAATCACTGATGTGCTTTCTGGCAACGAGGCAAGAACAGCAAGTAACCACTCAATGAAAATAGTTAGTGTCTCTTTTACTGAGGAATAAACAGAACCTCCCTGTTGTCTTGCTTCAATGCTCACATCCGCAGCTGCCAGCAGACATCCCCTATCACTCTGCTGAACAGGGGAGGACATGGGAGGGGGTCTCGGCACATTGCTTATTCTCAGGTTCTTTCTCCTGCTTATTCCTTTCCCACCAGGTTCAGGGGAACCAAGTGTCCACACCACTTGTGTACCTAGTTATAAGTTACAATATCTATGGCTGTTCACCATCCCCCCCCCCCCCCCCCTTACCAGGGGTCAAGTCATCTTCTCATGCTCAGCACACACCTGTCCTGATAAACTCACCTCCTCCCCACCCTACCCTGGAGAAGGAAGAAGGCACACAGAGAGAGGCAGCATGACCTGCCAGGACTTTTCAGGAAGTGAGTAGCAGAGCTGGGATTAGAAAGCCGCTCTCCTCACTGGCAACTCTGTGCTCTTTCCACTAAGTTATGTTTGTTTTTGCTTGAGTGTTTTGTTTTAAAACAGGGTATTTTAGCCAAGAAAACTTTGCTGGACATCTTCCATTTTCCTGTCTGACAAGGTTCTCCACCTTCGGGGAGGCGACAGGCTGCTTTACCTTGGCCCTTGTCCTTTGGCTTCCTATTGGGTTCAGCCAATGGGGAGCCCTGGCCAGAGGTGAAGGGTGAGAAAATATGAAATCAGAGTAGTCACATCCCCATGCTCGTGTCACTGGGTCAGGGGGTTCTCAGTTCCTATCCAGCCTCTCTCTCCTACAGCTCTTTTTGAGCTCAGGGTAAGCGCTCTCTCCTCTTACCCCCACCAGATCTAGACGTGGTCATGGCTCCCAACGGTCGTTAGCCTGTTTCCCCACCCCCTTGTTGATGTCTCTTAACTTCCCCACCCTTTGTAAACAGTCATTTCATTAAATTCCCCTCAGTTGCTGCTTTGAGGGTGCCCCCTGTTTCCTACCAGAACCAGGGCTGATACAGAAGGCTTGTGAAGGGGTATCTGTTCATTCCTTTCAGCTGCAAGGCTCCTCTCGCCTGAACTCTTACGTTCTCCTCCAATGTGCTAATGGGCATGCTTTATATCTGTGAGATGTGTTTTCTGTGGTGGAGCTCCTGAGAAATGCACAGCACCC